CGGCGAGAAATATCTATTAATAAATTTTCGAAACAATCTTATCATGGTGGTTCTGGAATCATGTCTCTTAACGATCATCCTACTCGTTGGCATATAGTATTTTTAATCCAGTGGCATTCTTGACTGACTTATCGATACCACAACAGGAAATTGGGTCCCTAACCGTGGAATTTAAAATTAACAAAATCTATACTTTTATGCACTAAATATAAAAATTTGTTTGTTGTTGAGTTTTCTATTATTTACTTTATCGAAGTCAAAGCTGCACTTCAAATTGATGGCAGATGCACTTTTAAATTATTTTGATATATTAAACTAAAACATTATTGGCTTAAACGGTTTTTCTAAGCACCCGTGCTATGTTGTGTTCTTGTTAATAATAGCCTTATTTCCACAATGACTTTTAGCCTAATCAGAGCTAGGAATATGTCATATTATTATTATATTGTTTTTATAGAAATTAAATATTTCCACTCGTATTTGCATGGGAAAGGAAGTGATGTTTAAGTGTTTTAGTTAGAGCATAATGAGGAAAGATATAACTGAAACCTCGAATTCGAAGGATAAGTATACGCGCTTTGCGCAGACAATAATTTTGTTTTGCGACGGCACATCAGGTTTCGGGCCAAGATGGCGTGGTTGAACGCCCGAGAAAGACCCTGGGACGAGGTTGCTTGTTTTTCAAGGGAGACAAGGCACCATCTTAGTGTGCTAGGAATTCTGGGGTCCGTTTGGGCAGGCCACTGAAACAATGATGGCGTCTGTTGCAGGCCTGGAAATGATTTTCCAAAACACTGAAATGTTGTAGAGTCAGTCCGGGAAAACGAGTGTAATGCCTTGAACCAAAACGTATCACAGATTCTTTGAGACACTAAACGTTTAATGTGATTAAGCCATAAATAATAATAATAATGTTTGTAACCGAAGAAATCTTTAAGATTCAAATAACTTGTCTGACAACGAATTAAAGATGGTCCATTATAGATATAACTTACTGTTATATAACAGTCAAATTGCTAGCTAGAAAACATTTTATTAAATGAAAAGTACTTATTTATGTGGTTCAATAAATATTATGAACACAGCGGGGGCCCCGGGGTTTTTTTGGCCATTTTTTTTTTTTTTTTTTTTTTTCCCCCCCCATTTAAAAAAAAAAAATAATTTTGTTGTCTTTGCAACATAAATTTCGTTCTGTTTTACTTCGTAATATGCAGCCATAATGACTTATTCTGGTCACCCCCACATTGTAAACGACTGACTATAGTCATATAACAACGTTTCCTGCGGTTTTTAATCAGCTGAAAGGCTCTAAGACAGTGAAACAAAACAATAGATGGGACAAAATTTAATGTGGTACGTTAAACTGCAAATGGTCCTGTTATTTTTTTTTATTAATTTTTTTCGGTTCGCTATCTATTCAGAAAAGAAAGAAGAGCTCCTACTGTCATGTTTAGGGTTGTTGGACATCCGCGTCTGGAAACACAACCCACTTTCACCGTCCGTAGCAATCAGTTCAATCACAAAGCCATTAGCAGATAGGAACAAAGAGAGCACCTTTTGTGTGAGTGTGTTTCAGGTCCCTGGGAAGGGGACAGACTTGAAAACCATAAACTGATGATCCTAGGGATTTATGGGATAGCCGGAGGTATGAAAAGTTCGTTCGTTTTGCTTCTACCTAAAAAACGGCAACACAAAGCCGTTGCCTCGTCATGATCTGTTTGCATTCAAATTGTTTTGTTTTTAATTGGAGAGCATACAGTATCAAGCTTGTTGGTGCTTCCTCCCATGTCTGTTTTTTTTTGCAAACCATTATAGAGAATTAATAGACTTATATTGCAGACGGATTGATATTTGCAGTTCCCAGCCTATAGCCCTTTGTGGGCGAAAATACTTTAAAAGCCTGAAGGGACGAAAATATTTTTCGTGGCACCCACGCTAATTGCTAAGTCCCCCACCTTATAAAATAGCGTTCTATCGGTTGCTCATTTCTTCCATCTTTCTTATTCCTCGACTCGATTTCGCCACTGAATCAATTGATCAAGTATTTCTTATAAGCTTGAACCTCATATTTTAAGGATAATAACGTCGAATAAGGTTACAGTTCAGGTCACTGGAAGCTACAGTTATGTAACATGTATTTACTATACCCCACCCAGCTAAAAGAAAGTCTTAGAGAAAGATGGAAAATAGTCTTTGAAACCCTTCTTCGCAGTACTATTAGTCAACAATACATTGGCCATTTGCAGCCGCAGAATGATTACCCAGTAAATCATCAAATGTTTGTTTTGTCCTAAAATATGAAAAACTCGCCTTAGTTCTTTATTCACAGGCTCACAGCTCAAAAAGTATAATGTTCTGTAGAGATATTCGGATGGGAGAAGTGGGGGCACATATCCGAGAGACGTATAACCGGAATATGCAAATAACGCAATGAGCCAATCAGAACTCGAAGCAAATATATGCAACAGCTACACAGCGCAGGAAAATGCACGTAAGTCAGGTCACGATTGGGTATTTTGGTTTTGTTCCTGATTGGTTGAACAAAACTACATGTTTGCTGTGATTGGTTAAACTGAGTTGCACGACGTCTTTTCATAGCAACGAAAAATAACTGAGGCTGACTCGTCCCAGTCCTTCTCCTATGGGAAATTGCAAACGTATGGACGAGTCAGTGCCATTGGGCAAGATGACATAATACCTAGACACAGAGCTCACGGCTAGTTCTTTTCCAAATTATGGATAAACCTTTCTTACTAACGCTCATTTTACGCTTTAAGACGCTTGCGTATCTCTAGCAAATTAAATTTGGCGCTGTCTACTGATTGCTTTCCATATGAAAACGCATGCAGTGGCTTAAGCAAAAACCCAACTATATGTATAAATTGACATTTCTCAGAATTGTGGCTTACAGGAAATGTTAATTAATATGCGAATACACACTTGACGGAAACAAATACACGACGGGAAACAGTCATACTCTGTTCGACCAATCAGATGAAGGCACTTGTCGTAAGTAATCTGACAAATAAATAATGCCACAGCGTGAACTGGACTGCTATTGTTTCCACTACCTTTTAGGAGTTTTGAGTTGCAAATATCTATCAGGTCACATGCAGCGTTATTTTCATCAACGAGGTGCTTTTGTTCAGACGGTAATATACCATCTGAAGCATTGGACTGCCAAAAGCTTGTTCTTTAGCCACTCTAGAATCAGAGTACAGAATGAAGTATATTTAAACGTCGACACAAAGTTCTTTAAAAACGTTTACTCGGAGGAGAATGAAAATGTCTACTCGAGAGAGAAAATGTTTCTCGTTAAGCGGCAAAATGGTGTTTGTGTAGAAGACAAATTTTTACACAAAGCTTCGAAAAGATGGCTCCTTAACATCAAACTATATGCGTGAAACTCTACGTTATGTGGACGGAGGAAAAGGTACGTTTTTAGTTCATCACCACACATGATAAAAACAGTAAAAGGATATATCCCCTGAAGGAGGTACGAACTTAGGGGCCTCCACAGACTTGGCCAATTGTTATCGACTAAACTATTTATTTGTCGATCATAAAAAGGTGTCGATAACAAAAAAGCCAGTGTGTGAAGCTAGTTATCGATAACTAAGGCCTAAGTTATCGATAACTAGCTTCACACACTGGCTTTTTTGTTATCGCAACTTTTTATGATCGACAACTAAATAGTTGTCGAAAACTATCTCCCTAGTCTGTGGAGGCCTTACTATTAAAGACTTACTATTAAAGTATAACAAACACAATTTTATCTTTCAGAATGTCAAGGCATCGTAAGGAGCGACCTATTTTGTTCAGCATGGAGTGACCAGTACGGCCCAAAATGCGTCTCTAACTGCGCACATTTCGAAATGACAAATATTGGAACTTGATTTGGATTATGACGATTATTAATCGAGCTGAAATTGTTAAACACCAAGTACAAGGAAGAACAACTATGCCCTCCACAGTATGGCTATTATAGTAACATCGTGGTTCAATTAATTCAGCATCTCACTGCTTT